TGTGCATAAATGTCATAAAATTCAATTTTGAGCAAACATATTTTGATGTCATATGTTTTGATCAACTTTGCATAAAAATATTAGAATTAATGCAAATATTATTTATTTTAATTTATTTGAAGTGTAAAATTGATTTTATTATTTGTGTAAATTATACAGCATGCAATAAATCAAATATTTTTTTAGGTTTATATGAATTTGTTGGACATAACAAACGAAAAATATATTCAATAATAAAATATAAAAAAAGTTGTAAGTGTAGAAATAAAATAATAAATAATATTGTTACAAATAAAATAATGAAAAGCTTTACTATTATATCAATTATTTTAAAAAAATAGATGATATGGTATGGGTAAATATTACATTTAGTTAAACTTAAATCTGTAAAACATGTATTAATGGATTTATGTTATAAAATTAATAAAAACATGTAGAGATTTCAACCATGACATATAGTTTTAATAGAAATATTTTCATTAGTTAATTAAAATGACATGTTTCTTAAAAATCTTATTGAATATCACATTTTTTCACTAAATTCTACTCAATTAATATATAAAGGATTAGTGGCACTTTTGATAAAATTTAAGAATGATTGAATTTTTTGAAAAGTGACATTTCTCAAAATAATAGAAAGATATACACCATTTGATCTTTTTTTTTTCTTCTGTGCAATAAAAAAAATCATGATTTTTCGTTTTTGAATATTCTAATCCCGCATCTGACGTGGGTCAAAAAATCTAATATTAGTAAAAAAAAAAAAGATATTCTCACATATACTCTATGTTTTTAAATAAAATATTTCATATTAACTACCACCTACTCGTTGTTTTCATATTCGTTTGATGATTATATATTGTATATATGATATAAATTTGGTGAGTAATTAGGTTACAATATAGTCACTTAAAAAGACCTCATTGAATAACACATTTTTTCACTAAATTTCTACTTAATAAATATATAGAAGATTAGTGTCACTTTAAAAAAAAAAAATCAAAATGATGACATTCTTGAAAAGTAGCATCTCAAAAGTGACATTTCTCAAAAAATTATACATTTAATCTAAATTTCATGCAAATAAGTTTTTCAAGATAAAATATGGGAGATATATACC